AAAAGTTTTGAGTGAGCCTAAGGCACATTCTTAGTTTACACGAACAACTAAATGTTCAATAAAACTGTTAGAGCAGCTTGTCCTAAGGCTTTGTTTCTGTCATCAGACTTGTTCTTCTGCTTATATTACGTAAGTATATGTTTTTTTTCTGCTGCCTAGCTACGTCATCCTCCTCTTTATAGGGCTCCGAGCGCCTCTCCTATCACAGTCAGAGAGCGCACTGAGCCGGCAGCCTAGAGAAGCGGCTTTATAAAGAGCTAAATTTACCAGACTTTACGTTCGTTTCCTGAACTCTCACAATTGGCTGCTCTATCTCAGCTTGGAGAGTTATAAAGTCAGGGAGGACCTCCTACCACTTTTAAACTGCTGTTGGTGTGATTGAAGCGCAGCTGTGGAGAGAGAGAGAGAAGGAGACAGTGAAAGCGCTCCAAACTGCTGCGGCTCAACTTCAACAGAGATCAGAAGTTGTGCAAATATTATATCCCGCTGAGCGATGGCCCTGTCAGGAGTGATGCTGCCATCGTTTTCGACCTTCTCAAACCAAAGAGAAAAAAACTGGGAAAATGTAAGTTTGAATTCTTGCAGGAGAGACTGAATAACTTTTGTGCGCAAGAAAAGCTGAAGTGATTCTGTGCAAACTTATTTATAATGTCTAATTACTGTTTTTTTTTCTGCGCAGAGGTGGAAAGAAGAGATGGACAAACACCCATCTACGGGTTGCTCCATGCTTGAACTGGTACAGAGTCTGGACTGTCAGAGCAAAAAGGACGACGAGGATCTGAGCAATTTCTTGGATCTGGATTTTATTCTCTCCAACACGGCTGGATCGGACAGCGCGGTGGAATACGTTGGCACAGCTGATCCCATGTACTCAACAAGCGGGAACTCCGTGCCGCAGTACCCCGCAGAGGACCACCGCTCCCCGCCTCCTCCCTACGGCGCCAGCCTCATGACGGAGCTGCTGCGCTCTGACGGACCCGGCGGCTACGGTGTCGCGCGCAACCCCGGCGTTCAGGGGAGATTTTACATCAACACGGCGCAGTTCCCCCGCCCGGAAAATATCAAAATAGAGCCGGCAATGGACAGCTACGGCCCCGTGATGGGGATGGTCCCTCAAAGCTGCAGCAGGATCAAACAAGAAGGCAACGTTTCATGCATGATGTCCTTCGAGCAGCCCCGTGTGGCCATCTCCCCGCGGGCGGCCAGCAGCATGACCCCGCCGCTGAGCCCAGACGACCAGCAGGCTACAGACTGCCAGGCGCAGATGTGCTTCCAGCAGAAATACCACACGGCTGCGTCCTTCCAGCACCACCCTCAGGCTCCTCACATGCAGATGCCCTACCACGCTCCGCATCCCGGCTTCGGGATGTACGACGAGGGTCTCGCCCTGCAGCCCGCGGGCGCGCAAAGGGTGTTGCTCACGCCGCCTTCATCCCCGCTGGAGCTGATGGAGTCCAAGCCGAAGAGAGGGAGGCGTACATGGCCGCGTAAACGCACGGCGACGCACACCTGCACGTTTGCCGGCTGCGGGAAAACTTACACCAAGAGCTCACACCTGAAGGCACATCTGCGAACTCACACAGGTAGGCGCTCCATCCTCACTATCCCTTTTGTTTTGTGCAGCAACAATCTATGCTGACCCAAACTTTAAATAGATAATAATAATAATCTAACTCTTGTGCTTTTCTTTCCTCCACGCAGGTGAGAAACCATACCACTGCAGCTGGGAAGGCTGCGGGTGGAAATTCGCCCGCTCCGACGAGCTGACCCGTCATTTCCGTAAACACACCGGACACAGACCCTTCCAGTGCCACCTGTGCGAGCGCGCCTTCTCCAGGTCTGACCATTTGGCGCTTCACATGAAGAGACACATGTGAAGGAGCTCACCAAAGGACTTGATTGTGATTCAGCTGTATTTTTTTTATTTAAAATGCTCTCCAAGTGGCCAAATTCTTTTATATATATATATATATATATAGTATTGAATTAAAACGTTTTAGTGTATTTTTTTCCCTAAAACTGTAGCTGGTACTACTTTGGTTGTATAAAGAAAGCTTTGGAAAAGCTTTGTTTGCTTAAGAGCAGGCAGACCAAGAAGGGGCTGGCCCTGTATATACTACTCTTCTTTGACAGAACTGGAACGCTGTGTTTGACACAAAGTGCCTTTCTATGACTGTGCTACTGTAAAACTCTTTGTAACAGAACCCAAAAAATATGTAAATGTTCTTGTTGACAGGGGTAAAAATGCACATACAGTTGCCTAACAAGCGCAGAGACAATGTTTTATTTAAACTGCCTCATGTGTCTGAACTGCCTTCTGACTTTTTTATTTTTATTTTTTGTCATCCTATTTGGAATTTCTTTTCTTCTCCGTGTGAATCTCTGGGATCCAGCCCCTCTGTACACTATCAGGGCTTGATGTCCTGTGCATTATTTTTTACTTAAATTTATATGAATAAGTACATTGATTTTATACTGTAAAAAATGTGTATTTATTGTAAATATTAAAAAGAACAGATTTGAAAACAATATTTTGGGACTGGTGAACTTTATGATCACTTACTCATTTCTCATTGCTACCCTCTTGCTCGCTCGTTTTGATTAAAACCACATCCACCCACTCAATACGGTTTCACAACTGTGCTTGAAAATAGATGCACCCAGGAAAGCTGCAGGTTATCAGATCACCATCACTGGAAAATACGGCTTCGAGTAGAAGATGCTGATTTAAGAGAACTTAAGGACGACCTGATTTCCAGTGATGTTTTGCAGCTGCAAGACAGAGAAGGGTAGCCGCTTGTGGGCTTAGCCTATAAATACAAACACTCCATTTTCATAATTACAGAGTGAGGCCAGGAGCCGTCTGGACAGAGGGGCACTGCAAACCCTCATCAGGGAGCCCTTAGACTCCCTTTCAGATGGGTAGAAATTATAGTAGGACATCAAAGCGCCTTAATACTACAATTACACATATTCACCCTGCACTACAGTTTCAAAGTATCCAGGTCCATGCTTTATATTATACATATGGTGTCAGTGAGCATTTGTATCTCCTGCATGAAGGACTGCATTGAGAGCTGGTATCAAAGCCAGATGCCAGTAGTGAAAAGATGGATGACTGCTTTCAAGAAGGTTTTAAAACCTCCCTGAATGATATGGTCACGGACATTTAATGTGAGAACAACAGCTTTGCCCCCTAAAAGAAAATTTCAACAAGTAGATTTCAACCTAAATGTTTCCATGTGCAAGAGTTCATATTTTTTAACAAAAAAAGAAAAAGGGGGAAAAAAGGGGAAGCATATACCGAGTCAAAAATATCTATACTGAGAGATGCAAATGTATCACTCTCATTTCACTTTTCTTTGTTCTAATATCAAAGCATAAACTTGAAAATAGAATAAAATATATCCATGGTGAATTTTAACATATTGTGAATAAAATCCCTTACTTTAGAACAAATGATTGGTTTTAGTTCTTCCCATTGGAAAACGTGTGAAATGACTACAATTTAAACAGTTTTAATGTTTATTGTCTTTTTCTTTTATTGTTCAGCACTTTGATGAAAAACTTGGCCTTAAGGTGGACCTTATAAATTAGATTTTACTTTGGCAGGACAAAATAGAAAAAAAGAGAATTTTGCACACTATCCACTCATAATAGATATCATATTCTCTAAGGTTTTACAAAGTGCCTTAAACCATTTCTTTCTGAGACCAATTTAATATATCAAAACTTCAATGAGTTTTAAAACAAAACCAGAGAGCAGAGGGTTGAAATAATTGGGGATTCTCTCTAATCCACACCAGAATAAAGTGACATGCAGGGTAAAACAGCCTTATTAATATTGGCTTAGATATTCATTACTGCTTGCACAGTGGTCTAGATGTTAGCACTGTGGCTGTGCAGCAAGGAGGTCCTGGCTTTGAAGCCCAGCCAGGGTCTTTCTCTAAGTTCTCCTCAGGTATCCTGACTTTTCCCACAAATTCAAAAATAAGCACCTTAGGTTAAAAGGTCTAAATTTCCCTCAGATATGAGATTTTGTGCAAGGATCCAGCACATTTGTGGCTATAGGTCTCAACACTTTTTTAGTGTTTAGATGGTGTTGAAACAACTAGTGTCCAACTTATTTTTATTTTTTGAGGTTTTTTCTACAGTGGCTGACAAGAAAGAGGGTATGAGAGAGAAGGAGAGACATACAGCAAGGGACAACAGGTCAGATTCAAACCCAGGTTGCCCACATCGAGGACTAAGGCCTCCGTACGTGGGTCGTGCGTGCTAACCACTGTGCCACTGAAGCACGCCCATAGTGACTAACTTTACAGCATTTAGCAGAGAATGAGGTCACTGAAGAATATAAAGAGTTTCTATCCTCATCACATCTACCCTCAGCATGATGCAACCACTATCATGTTCAACAGTTGGTACTATGTTTTTAGGGTGAACACTTGGCCTTGTGCTTTAAAAATGCAGTCTTGTGCACCAAATGTATGTTTTTAAAAACCTTCTGAGTTGTGTGTTGTAATTATGTGTATCAAGACAAAACATCAAAATCCTCAAAACACGAAATTAGCGTCAGAAATGTGTGAACGTAAACTTAACACACAGTCAGCATAAAAGCAGCTGTATTGTTTCTGTATGCTACCGGTATATAACTTCCACTGCAGTCAAACAGAGCTTCAACATCATGCTTCCACCACCATGCTATACAGGTGTAAAAACTTCTTTTTTTAACATTATTTTTGTGAGAGGGGGGTGGGGATTTTTTTTTTTCTAATTTTAAGTGGGTGTTGCACATTTTAGAGCCTTCATGTACAATTTCACCTCGGTTGGGAAAAGTGAAAGTAGTGGTGTTCCCAGTTTGTTTTTCACTCAGTAATTATTCAAATAAATCTTATATAGCCCTTATTGTTCATTTATTAATATTCTATAATTGCATTTTCCTATTAAAGCTGTCCTTTTTTTTGCTTATATTGATGAAGAAATGTTCATTTTCCAGGAATGTTATAACTCAAGTTTATTAGGTTAAAATTTGTTACATTATTTCAGAAAATCAAAACTCAAGATAATAGATTTTTTAATAATTACATATATATACTTTGCAATATTACAGCTTAGTGTTGATATGTGGATAATCTAAGGCGTTGTCACATGTATTACATGTCCTATATTGAATATGCAGTACATTCATTATGTGCCAAATAGACCTGATTAATAATGGAGAGCGATAAGAATGCATTTGAAAAACCTTCCACATTCATAGACATGTCTTCACAGAAAAAAAAGAACAGGTAAAAGTTTTTTTTTTTTACCTGTCAGCGAAAAAGCAAAGTCAGAAAAATAAATGTACTTCTGTAGTAATAAGTAAATGAGAAAAAGTTCATGTAACAGCATTAGCATAAAAAGAGAGGGTTTACACTTTTCCATTTTATAGAGGCTTTTAGTTGTATGGGAGTGCAAGTTTGTCACATCAAACCAAACCATTGGTCAAAAACAAGCTGCTCACATCTGAAGGACTGAGAAGTGGTTCATTAACGAAGGAATATGCCAATGATTATCACCAGCTTTGATAACGTTTCAAAACATCTTCAATTCTTGAACCCGAATGCGATAAACAGTGGAGATGAAAGCTTAAATAATTAAATCAGGTGTAATGACAGAAAAAAAGGATGTTATGATCTGACCAAGTCCTTCAGGACAGCTTAGTATTTCAGGCAGGACTTGCCTAATCCAAACCGTGCTCATTTAAGTGTAATTTAATCATAAAGTATGGAGTGCACAAAAAAGGTTTCTTTAACCATCTGGTACTGGACAAGCTCAACAATCGCAGACCAACAGAGTGGCTGACGTCTTCTGTTTGAGTTTTCTGCCTAACTCATGGTTATGGAAAACAGACTTCAAAATGCATTTTACTTCATTCTTTGACTTCATACATAAACTGTAAAATATTCCCTCTTTGGCTAATTTGACTTGCCTGTTATATTAACATAGAAAAGAACCATATGGATGTGATATTCAAAACACTGAGGATGCCTTTGTCGTCATAGTATCAGAGAAAAGTCTTCCAGTGTTTATGTTGCAAAGCATTATGGTTAGCAGTTAGATAAAATGGCTGTGAACGGCTCCAGTCGGCGAGACTACAATGAGATAAATACATCTTCCTGGGCTCCCCCCGCTGAGTGCAGCCTCAGACAACTCTGGAGAGATTACTGGAAGCGTGCGCCAAGACGACGATGATGACAGAGGTGGGAAGATGAGAGTAGGGGCTAAAGTGTGTTGAGTCTGTGCTACAAGTGCCTTTTTTAATGCTGGCAGAGCTGCGCCACCTCCTGTAATCAGCTGTTTAAGGTAAACAAACTAACAAGCACAAGGTGGGCGGTCATTGGGAGTAAAAAGAGTTTACAAAAATGGCTGGTGCACAGACACATGGAAGTTCAAGCTGTTCCTTTTTGATGCAGCTCTGGATCAGCGTTAATATGTTGAAGGCATGGTTGTATTTCAGTGTTTAAATAAAAAATAAAAATAAAATAAAAAATCTTTTTTGGACACATAATACACAGGAGAATCCGAATTTTCAGTCAAAATATTTAGAGATGCACCAAGAAGGATGGCTGGTAAACGGGTTTTCAGCTTGACCGGCCCTGGCCAATCAGAGGCTGGTGAGAAACTCGGAAATCTGTTTATTCACTGAGTGAAATCAGGATAAGAAGCAGCTATCAGTATGTGCTGATGATATGGAAACCATTATTGATGGGAAAAACGCTTTACAAAAAAAAAAAAAAAAAAACTTGAATTTTTCACTCCATGTGGCTGAAAGAAGCGAGAGACGCCAAGATTGAATCCAGACAGAAGGTTGAAGGAGTACAACCAGTGAAGAGTAATCAAAGTTATGCATTTAAGATACACAGCAACAAAAAGTCCTAAAGAGAAAAAGTATTTTGTATGAGAGAGAGTTTCAGCAAATAATAAGAAGGCTGACCGTCTCTTTAAAGATGTAGATTCGGAAATTTACAAAATCATTTGGAAGTGTTTCAGTTTACGTTCTACAATTTCTAGGCTTTACACAGAAACTGCTATTGAAACAGTGTAAAACAACACATCTGTAATGCTTATCTTTTATTTCAAATTAAAACATGTTTAACAGTAACTGCTCTCTCACACATACAACCTCACATACAGTAGGTTCCACTTCCTTTACCAATAAATTATCGGAGGAAAGATATAAATATGTAGTTTGCATGCTATTCCTTAATCCTTGACCTGCTAATACTGATTACGATCATTTTCTAAGGAACCTTAAGGCACAAAAGTTTACAATAACTGAAAATGGGCGATAAATTTGGGATTGGTGCATCTCTAAATTGACAGAAAGTTTACGTCAGGGTGGTTAAATAAGACAGCAGAGCACTTGGGAAGCTCCCATAATTAGATATTTACATTAACCAAGTCATAATGATGACTGCTAGTGTTAAGAAGGAAATCCATGCTACTGTCTGGTAAGGGTTGTAACAGCACTGTTATGGTAACTAAGATGGCAATTTTATGTCATCATTGACCTGGGACGCTTTACGCACAAAGAGATGATGGGTACTGTAGCTCAGGGTTTGAAGTAATTATAGATAATGTGCTGAACCTAATTTTGACTCTTCTTAAAGGGTTTACCCACCAGGCCGGCTGAGAAGTCAGCAGTGCTGGGTAGCCTGTAATGTTTTTGTTGTGTGGAGCTAAGCTCTGAATTCTCCCTGTTTAAAGTTGGTGTTTGGAAGCTGTACCTTTAATGGTTTGAAATTTAGAGTCACTTGATGAGAGTCCAGTCATAACAGAAGAAACACAGGTTTCTTAAACCACTTGGTTAAAAAAAAGAAAAGAAAAAAAAGAGGGATCTGAGGTCATGAGCCTGTAAACGGAGAACGGAGGACAGTTAGGTGGACGGAGAGCTGAGCTGGCCGTCGTCCTGCTCAGGTGTTGGAAGCGTCGGCCTTGCTAAGAGCGATGGCCAGCTCCAGATCCTGCTGCTCCTGCAACCGCAGCCTCATCAGCCTCTCCTGCTCCTCACGCTCGCTCTCCCGCTTGGCCCACTCCAGCTGCTGGTTCTCACTTCCAAACTGCAGCGGACAAACAAACATTAGAATTGGGAAACAAAACCAAAAAAGAAGAAAGAAAAAGAAAGGAATGTGGTTGCGGCTTGAGGTTCAAATGTCAACACAGAAACAGACAAATCAGGGAACAAAAGCAGATGTTTCTAAACAGGCAGAAAGTCAAGAACGACGGACATTGTGTAAAATGATGAGCAGCGAACGGCAATAAATTGGTAAACAATTAAGGCCCAATTAAAACAGATGCAGAAATGATTAATCAGTGCTTTGTAAAAGTACTAATAACCAATTAAAGTTTTCATTTTGTCACAAAAATATAGAAAAAAAATTACACAAATATTCAGAAAGTGTTGCTTTACATTCAAAATGCTGTGTGGGGTGAAGACTAAATCCTCTTCGTAAGTCTGATCTGAAAACTCTGATCTCAACACATAGACCAGGAGTTAAAGATGATGGAAGTCAGGTCTTGATGTGCATATGACTTTTTTTTAGGGGAGAAAATACAAATCAAGCAAAACCTGCTGCAAAACTGGAAGAACACGTTAAAGGCTGCAAAAGACTTCAAATTGAGGGCTAATCAAGATCTAGAGCATCAAAAGAGGTTTAATAAGAACTTTGCTTATGTGTTAGTAATGAACCAGACCTATATTAACTTAGAAAAACTAGTGCAAATTTACTTTTTTCAATCTATTTAGCAAAGAATAGGCAAATATTTTGGTCTCCAGATGTAAAAGCCTGCTTGGAACAAACCCTAAAACATTTGCCATTTTAACATCAGCAAAAGTTGAATCTACAATTTACTGACTAATAGGTGCTGAAAATAAATTCACACCACACTTTTAAAATTTATATTTGTAACTTCAATTATTTTCTTGGTCGTCACAACTATGTATACTGCATAAAACACCAACATAAATGCAAGTAAAATTCATTAAAGGTTCTGGTTTTAAAGTGACAAAACAGATTAATGATGAGGGTTTTTAGCACTTTTGCATTGCACTAGATTTCTATTACATAAAAAAGCAAACACACCAAAGCTAAAAGCTTAAAGCAACACTTTCAGAAAATAATTCTATGCTAAAGCAACAAATTCTTGGTAATTCTTTATAGATCATGTGCACCCATGATTGACTATATTCAGATTATGTGGTGCAAACAAGAGTTTCACATGCAAAGATGGATCACCACACCTTTTCTTTTTCTTTCTTACCTTCTCAACTTCAGATCCTGGCAGAAAAAAAAAAAAAACAAATAATGCAAAGCTCCATAAAAGAAAAAAAAATCCCTTTTTACAACAATCATGCAGATGTCACATGAGAAAACCCCAAAAGCTGCCATGCATCATCTCTCTATCTGAGAGCATGTCCGGCTGTCATGAAGATAGTGGAAGGCGGTTTACAAAGCGGCAGATTTTCCTCAGTTGTGCTGAGCTCCGAGGCATGTCATGCTTTGACAGCAAATAAGCCTTCAACTTGCCCCTCTTGCACTTAATGACACGAAAAATGCTCTTAAAGCACGACCGGAACAGACAGACGCGTCCAGCAGCCTGGTGGCAGTCACATTTATAAATCCTCACTTTCTGCAAACATGCAAACCCGTTTTTCCATGAAGAAAGAATTCCACACATATCCAAATCAGTCATGCAAACATTTTGCTCTTTTGTGGCCCAACTGTGAAAAAGCTGTAAATGTGGTTAGTCAACAGCCGGTAAACATGTTTGCTCTGAGCATTCGCTGTCCCGAAGTAAAAGACCAAAATGTGGCCCGACAGCACTGGACGACATCTCTAAGCAGACAGCTCTGCAATTCATGCAGTCGGCGTTTATCGGTCCAACAATAAAAGAACACACACAGAAAAAAAAAGACGAGAGAGGACTACACTTACATAACCAAAACCCACAGGACAGTCTTTGGATTCGTTTCTTGGCTGTGCCAGAATAAAAGAATCTCTACCGACACCCTGCCGTAGCTCTGACGCGCTCGAACCGAGCAGATTTACTGGAGGAGATAAAAATTGTAATCAATAAATACCTATAGCATCTTTCCCTCTCATTAGAGCTCCCTTGGGAAAACAAGCTCACACTTAAAAACTGAATGTGTAATAATGGACCCACAAAATATTCACAGGAAGCCAAAAGCTTTGTGCCCACGTTGTTCACAATCGTCACCCTGGGGAGAGCGATAATGGTTCAAGAAAAGGTGTTAACCACATTTTTGAGTATAGTTCACTGATGCATTGATGCTTCAATTTGCACAGAGCTGCTTTTCTGGAACATATGATTGGTAAAAGCAGACACACCCTTTTTACTGTAAGCTGAGGACACTGACAATAATCGCTTGTCACTGGTTCCCATTATCTTCTAAGTGTCAGAAAAACCTAGAGGGCTTAAGCATAATATGTAGAAAAGCTAACCAAATATTTGTCTCATTAAATCCCAATTACACAACCCAACTTGAGTAGGGGATGTAAACAAATGCTGCAACACAACTGCAGACAAACATCTGAGTTGCAGCGTCCTCGAGGACCAGGATTAGTTGTGCAACTGTTTCAGAGATGCAGATATTGAGAGCAGGCCACAAATTTAGGAGTGAGCCTCTCACTTCCCTTTTACATGAGAGGCACACTGCGAGAACAAGCTTGCTGGCAAACTGTGGTTCATCTCAACCCTGTTCCGCGTGGTGAAGCAAAGGGGAACACCGGCTTTCTCAGGCTGTGGCTTCTGCTTAAAGAATAAGTGCAAGGTCACAGCGGAAGGGCATGGCCTGGGAATGGGTTGTAGGTGTTGTATGACTTCACATGAACTCAAAACGCAACACTGTGTAAGAAAGAACCACCATCATCCCAAAAACAGAACTTTAAATTAAGTAGCATTGGTTTGTTATTGTAAGGAGTAAAAAAAAAAAAGCAAAGAAGTTTCCTATTAATATTAGCAACGATGTGAACTGGTTAAATGAGGTTCCCACATGCTGTGACCCCGACTATTCTCATATCTCTGCCAACAGCTTTCCTGTTGACAGTATCAAAACAAGAAACTACTATCTCTGCAATCTTATACCTTAATGAGGAAGTTGTTTTTCTAGCCTGCATTTAGGCCATAAAACACCTTTCTGCCGTAAAAACAGAAAAACAAATGAAGCGTTTATAAAATAGTTAAGCTTTGTTTAGTTTTTCTTAATAAAGAGGCTTTTATGTTGGCCACCTTGCCATGGCTGGGTAGAGTAATAACACATAGAAAACAAACATCCTTTAATTTTAGTACATTAAAGGATGTCTAAGATTCAACATTTGTTTAGTTCAATGTTTTACTTTTAAAGACCCAGATTATTTGAATTTAAGCCCCATAAGACTTCTAAAAAAAAAAAAAAAAATCAAGTCAAATATAACACAATGATTTTTAATTCTGAGGTGTGTCGTGTAATTTGAGTCAAGGTCAAATAAAACGAGCCAAAATCCGGGCATTAAAGATCCACTCTCCCAGGATAAAGGAGTTAGTTGCAGTTGACAGTTTTAGCATCAGTGCTCTTTAACTGAAGTCAGGTTTACTTTGGCAATAAAAGTATTATCAACAGTAATTGCATTCCCTTCATCATTGATGCATAGACTTCTGCATATCTTACAGCACATGAACAGGAGAACAACCTATAATGCAACATCGGAAAAAGGACCTATTTTTGGATGGAGGAGAAAGAATCTGACGTAGAAGAAATTTTTTAATTTGCTGCATCAAATAATGGGTCGTAGATCTGTGCCTGATTCTTAGAGCTGCTGATTTTAGTGTATTTATTGAATGCAACAATAGAAGACCTCCCAGTCATCAATAAGAGCCGATCAAGTGATGGTAGAACCATTTCCCGACTGAGAAACGACTGAAAACATGAAGCAAATAAAGCCAACTGGTCCTTTTTTTTTTCTTTTTTTTTTTTTAAGAAATATAAGATTATATTTGTAATGAGCAAGGAACAAAAAACTGCATAAATTTAACAGTTATTTCATAAATTTAAAGAAAACAAAAAGTTAAGTTAAAATGTGGATTAAGACCTAAAGTTAAGATCATCACATTTAAGACTTTTTAAATAGCTTTGACAGCAATCGCATGAGGATGATCTGAAATATATTGCCACATCAACAGGGACGGTTCAAACAGAAAGTAGGCCTCCTTCTGTGGCCATCTTGGTCCCCAGATAACTTAGTCCTATTGAAATATATCCAACAATGTGAGCTGTGGTAAAGGAAGCTCACGCTGCAGAAGAAGGGATGTTTGACACTGAATTATCAAGACAGAATGAGTAGAAGAAGAGTGGACACAAGAAACTGTGAGCGAGTAAGGGGAGAGATTAGGGAAACACATTAAGTATTAAGAGCAAAGTTTCTTCACATCTTTATATTCTGACAGCATTAAGTGACAAACACACTGATGTACAGTAAGATCTAACGCCAATATTAAAAAAAAAACTCTCATCTGTTAATGTCAAAAAGTGGTATCTTAAAAAATGGAATTACCATAGGGAGGTGCAGGCCGGTTTGGCACATTTTTCTTTGATGGAGGGTCAGGCTTCTGCTCATGCGAGGAATAAAAAACAAGAAAGAGAGAGAACAGAAATAAAATCCGTCAACAATTTTATAAAATAATGAGGACAGCAGATTTCCAAGAAGCCAGCAAATGGTCAAGGTGAAAGGAAAGGTGGAAACCTACAACCTTCAGTGGAATATTCAGCTTTATGGTGCAAGTGATTCACGACTACAGGAGCTTACCTTAGACATGTGACTGAAGTCAGCAAATCCAGCACCCTTTCCTCCGAAGGAACTGCTTCTAAAAGGGTCCGCTTTTGCAAACAAATCTGCAACAAAAGTTTATTTTAATACATCTGGAGCATTTGGTTGCAGACACAGAAGGAGCCAGAAATTGTAATAAGGTTATGCCCCAAAAACCACACGTCGAAATTATCTCCGTATTTTGCTTATTCTGAGGGTTTTTAGGGGGAGGGGTGCCTTTGTGCTATTTTCAGAGCAGAGAATGTGGCATAGCCGTTTAATTTTCCATGAGATTTTCTGTGAGAACCTGTAGAACGGCATTTATTTTTATTTTTTTTGTTCGACCTGACGTATGCATCTGATCAGCTAATTAAAGGCGTCAGTTGGTGTGCTGTTAACCAGAACTGAGCCTGTGTTGTTTTGTTGAAGCCACTTCATTTCCAAAAAAGCAACAAACTGCAGATGGCTGGAGTAAAGAAAACAAAACAAAACATTCTACCATAATCAATTTTTTGTGTGTGCCTAAACCACAAAAGAGCCCATTCACGTGCAGCGTGCTGTTTTCCTTTTACGCGCACTAACTCAGGTCTACAGATGCCTCTGTGTTCCTCAGAAGCATGTGCAGAAGGCGCAGAGCCTTGAACAGCAGCTGCAACCAACTTTAAAACAGCTTCCGCAGCGAACGGGGGCCCAGCACTTCAATGGCAGCAGATACAGAGGGAGGACAGAGGCAGGAGAGCGCCGCTTGAAGGAGTGGCAGTGTGTTCTAGTGTTGAAGGAGCAGCAGTCACAGTTTCTGTTTTGCTTGGCTCCTGAACGCCTCCTGTTTTTCCAGGGTGAGGGGGGAGTATTTTCAGTTGGCCAGCAGTTAAATGTGTAGGTGCTCGGCTAAAAATAACCTGAGACCAGAGGAAAAACTGAAGCCGCAGAGAGTAAAAATTGTTTGCCCCCTTATGCCCCAACCGCCAAAAATAAAACCTAAATCTAACACGTCACCCAGAGAGGCTAAGAATGACTCTTTGAGATGGGTTTGATCCTAACGGTGCCCTCTCAGGACCAGAAGACTGTTAATAGACTCTGAGAAGAACTGAAGGAAAATCTGCCTCTTTGAGTAAAGGGATAAATGTTGGTGTTTTATTTGACAAAGTGATGTCAGGGTTTAAATTATTACACCATCTTCCCATCTTAGTCCACTAAATCCAGCTCAATTACTGTTTTAAATACAAAACACGTAAACTTTTCAACATATTGTCAAAAACTTTATTTTAAAGCCAATTTATGTGATAGACTTAAAAGTAAACAGAGGAAAATTATTATTACTCTTAAAAAAACATTAAAACATGTACTCAGCCTCCCTTATTTTGAAACCCCTAAATTATACCCCTTTCCAACTGGCTGAAAAACCCATTTAAACCCGGGAACAATTGGCTTTTAGTGGCAGTGGGAACAGCTCACTGTCGCGTGTCGACCCGGCTCAAACGACTCGACAAGCGACACGCGTTAAAATCGTCTCAGCCCTGATCGGCATGCTGTGTGAACACCAGAGCTGGGTTGACCTGCTAAATTAAGTGACACCATTGAACGCAACATATAGACGTCAACACACCGCACCAGTCACTTCTGATCTAACAAGGAGAAACAACTCTGTTTGCGTTCCATAAACACGGCCAAGCACTGGTGGGAGGGATTCAGACAGATAGAAGAGCGAAAGAATAAAGAACACTTATTACGCTCTGGCTTCCTAACTTTTTTCTCTCCATTGTTTATTTTCCTGATTTCTGTCGCACTGGTGACATCATCGACTCTATCCCAGTGTGATGGTGTCACCAGACATGCAGCAGCGGGGGGACAGCTTGCCAGCGAGTAGTCAGACTCAGCTTGTTATGAGAGTGGGAATGGAGCCAAATGCCGATTGTCAGCAGGTCAACCCATGTTTGAAAAAAAAAAACATGTTAACATGCCATTTTCAATGAACAAGAGGCTTACGGACATTATAGAACAAACGTCTTTATAAAGACAAAGGAGCCCAGCAGACTGAAGGAAGCTGTGGAGAGGCTTTAACACCACATGAAGCTCCGCTCAGTTTACTGTAAATGCAAAGAGTGTGATACAGCTGAAAACAGATTGTCCAGATACCCTGGGCTTGGCAGCATTTGGATTTCTTGAACAATGTTTAATTTTTTATTTTTTTTTAACACAAGAAGCTAATAAAAAATGCTCGATTTAGTAGTTCCTTATCCAATATTTGCATATTTCTGCACCAAAATGAAACTAGTGCCATGAACACTAATTTCAGTTCCCTCATTTTTTTTCCCTTTCACTAGATTTCAAACAAAAAATGAAAATTAAATAGCATATTTTTTTTCTATAGCAGTTATACACTAAATTTTTTTTTTTTTAAAGGGCAAGGGTGGGAAGATATACTGACAGAAAAATGTTTAGTTAAGCCCTTCACCTCTTTGCCTTTATGGACAAGAGCCAAGAAGGAAGTCATTGTTGAATAAAAAATATATGAAGTCTTATTAGCAGCTTGTCAAAAGTATCGTAGGGGGAGAACAAATGTGGAGGAAGGTGCTCTTTAGAGACAAACACTGGGTACTACCCAGAACAAAGTGACTCTGAGGAAAATCTGGCAAAGCATTATGCTGTGGGGAAGCTTTTTTTGGTCAGCAGGGAAGCTGGTGAGAGAGAATGAGAACATTAATGGAGGTAAATACAGGGAAGAAAAGCTGTTACAGACTTGAGGCTATGGTGGAGCTTCATGCTATAGTTTAGTAACTTAGAGACAGGCTACAGTGGAATGGTTTATATCTGATTTAGAGCTGCAACTAATGTTTTTTTTTTTCTGTGAATCGATGAAGCTGTCGACTTTTCCACTTGAGGAGTTCTAGATAGAGGAATTTGACTTTTTTTTTTTTATCTTAAATGCAAAATTATTTTTTTTTACTCTTGGTATGGTGTTATTTAAAATGCCATTAATTAAAATGTTGCGTGGAGAAGATTTCGATTGTTGTTTATAGTTGTTCTTCTTCTGTCTTGTGTTGGTTGGCAAGCAACTTCCGGAGGGGCATTACCACCAACTACTGGAATGGAGTGTGAATCGGGATGTGCAGCCAGACGGAGATGACGCATTCTGCTCATGCGCTCTTGTTATCAGAGAACCGAGCAAGGGAAAAACCGAGCCGAGCTCACCTCTGGAACTGGTCTGCAGTTAGCTCGGTTCGGTTGTGTCTAGTTCGGTTCAGTTCAGTTTGCTTTAAATTTACACACGATAAGTTATCTCAGTTACTGAGCTCGGAACGGTCTCGGCACGGTTTTTCAAGGGTAGTGTAAATGGGGTATATGTGTTGGTCTATCATTAAAAAAGAAAAAAAAAAATGAAAAGGAGTCACTGAAGATTGTGGTGACATAGTGTGAAAAATGCAAGATGTACTGATTTGGTGCTCTACTGGAACAAGTGTGAGAGGAAAAATATACAAGACCATAAAGATGTTGAGGCACAGAAAAATATAATTACAAAACACAAAGAAAACACTGAAAAGGACGGACAACAAAGAATCGATATGTTAAAGCGGCCAACCTGAATCTTTTGTTTTAGAGCTGTTGGATTTGAAGGGGTCACCGCTCCCAAAGGCACCAGGCTGGAAAAAAAAGAAGAAAAAGAAAATCACCAAAACAATCAAAAAGAGAATAAAAACATCTCATTCTGCAGGTAAAAAGAAGAGCAGTCCAACCAACTACGAAACAACAAAGGGTCGAACCTTGGCTGGCGGTGTGGGTTTCCTACTGAAAGGTTCCCCAGAGCCAAACACGTCTGTCTTTGGTCTTTTAAAAAAATCCTCAGATGAGGATCCCTTGAAGGGATCATTTTCTTTGAAAGGATCTTCACCAAATGGATCTAGACAAATAAAAAGGTGAAACATGAATAATAGAGAAAATGACCAAACGTTGAGATAGTCACCCAAAAATATCAACATCTGAAACCAGAATTATAGATATTCTTAATAAAGACAAATAAACAACAATAACGCACTCCTAACCTTTTAGAAGGTCCGACTTGAACGGGTCTTCTACCTGGAAGGGGTCTGCTGGAGGCTCCTTTTTAGCGCTGTTGTTAAACATGGCTATCCTTGACTTAAAAGAGTCATCCTGATAAACACAAATATATATGCATTTATTTACAAACACTGAAAAAACAATGTTTTAATCCTTCATGTCAAAGCAACAGGAGAAAAAAAAAAAAAAAAAGGAGAGACTAGCGATAGCAGCATCCAGCTGTGGGAATGAGGCCTTGGCCTCAAAAATGAACAAATAAATGCTTTTAGACATGTCCTTATTTATTATCAAATTTCACAAATTTATTTAAAATAATGATGTCAAAGTCAAAAAGGAACAGACACAGAGTACATTTTATTATCAACCACTCAAACCCCTTTTGGCTCATCATCGTAGATACCTGTTCAAAATACCAGTGGAGACAAATGATTTGCAACTTTAATGCCAGTAAAAGTTTTAGGTGAATAAATAACTTTAGACAAGTCTGTGTATTTTAAATTTAGATAAAACATTCTTT